CAGATCGGAACTTCGGAGCATGAATTGAGAATCATTTGATTCAGATCGGAACTTCGGAGCATGAATTGAGAATCATTTGATTCAGATCGGAACTTCGGAGCATGAATTGAGAATCATTTGATTCAGATCGGAACTTCGGAGCATGAATTGAGAATCATTTGATTCAGATCGGAACTTCGGAGCATGAATTGAGAATCATTTGATTCAGATCGGAACTTCGGAGCATGAATTGAGAATCATTTGATTCAGATCGGAACTTCGGAGCATGAATTGAGAATCATTTGATTCAGATCGGAACTTCGGAGCATGAATTGAGAATCATTTGATTCAGATCGGAACTTCGGAGCATGAATTGAGAATCATTTGATTCAGATCGGAACTTCGGAGCATGAATTGAGAATCATTTGATTCAGATCGGAACTTCGGAGCATGAATTGAGAATCATTTGATTCAGATCGGAACTTCGGAGCATGAATTGAGAATCATTTGATTCAGATCGGAACTTCGGAGCATGAATTGAGAATCATTTGATTCAGATCGGAACTTCGGAGCATGAATTGAGAATCATTTGATTCAGATCGGAACTTCGGAGCATGAATTGAGAATCATTTGATTCAGATCGGAACTTCGGAGCATGAATTGAGAATCATTTGATTCAGATCGGAACTTCGGAGCATGAATTGAGAATCATTTGATTCAGATCGGAACTTCGGAGCATGAATTGAGAATCATTTGATTCAGATCGGAACTTCGGAGCATGAATTGAGAATCATTTGATTCAGATCGGAACTTCGGAGCATGAATTGAGAATCATTTGATTCAGATCGGAACTTCGGAGCATGAATTGAGAATCATTTGATTCAGATCGGAACTTCGGAGCATGAATTGAGAATCATTTGATTCAGATCGGAACTTCGGAGCATGAATTGAGAATCATTTGATTCAGATCGGAACTTCGGAGCATGAATTGAGAATCATTTGATTCAGATCGGAACTTCGGAGCATGAATTGAGAATCATTTGATTCAGATCGGAACTTCGGAGCATGAATTGAGAATCATTTGATTCAGATCGGAACTTCGGAGCATGAATTGAGAATCATTTGATTCAGATCGGAACTTCGGAGCATGAATTGAGAATCATTTGATTCAGATCGGAACTTCGGAGCATGAATTGAGAATCATTTGATTCAGATCGGAACTTCGGAGCATGAATTGAGAATCATTTGATTCAGATCGGAACTTCGGAGCATGAATTGAGAATCATTTGATTCAGATCGGAACTTCGGAGCATGAATTGAGAATCATTTGATTCAGATCGGAACTTCGGAGCATGAATTGAGAATCATTTGATTCAGATCGGAACTTCGGAGCATGAATTGAGAATCATTTGATTCAGATCGGAACTTCGGAGCATGAATTGAGAATCATTTGATTCAGATCGGAACTTCGGAGCATGAATTGAGAATCATTTGATTCAGATCGGAACTTCGGAGCATGAATTGAGAATCATTTGATTCAGATCGGAACTTCGGAGCATGAATTGAGAATCATTTGATTCAGATCGGAACTTCGGAGCATGAATTGAGAATCATTTGATTCAGATCGGAACTTCGGAGCATGAATTGAGAATCATTTGATTCAGATCGGAACTTCGGAGCATGAATTGAGAATCATTTGATTCAGATCGGAACTTCGGAGCATGAATTGAGAATCATTTGATTCAGATCGGAACTTCGGAGCATGAATTGAGAATCATTTGATTCAGATCGGAACTTCGGAGCATGAATTGAGAATCATTTGATTCAGATCGGAACTTCGGAGCATGAATTGAGAATCATTTGATTCAGATCGGAACTTCGGAGCATGAATTGAGAATCATTTGATTCAGATCGGGACTTCGGTGTGGGTTCACAAATCATTTGATTCAGATCGGGACTTCGGTGCGGGTTCACGAACCATTTGATTCAGATCAGGACTTCAGTGTGGGTTCACAAATCATTTGATTCAGATCAGGACTTCAGTGTGGGTTCACAAATCATTTGATTCAGATCGGGACTTCGGTGCAGGTTCACAAATCATTTGATTCAGATCGGGACTTCGGTGTAGGTTCACAAATCATTTGATTCAGATCGGGACTTCGGTGCGGGTTCACGAACCATTTGTTTCAGATCGGGACTTTGGAGTGAGTTCATGGATCTTTTGATTCAGATCGGAACTTCAGAGCGTGTATCAAGAATCATTTGATTCAGATTGGGACTTTGGTGCGGGTTCACCAATCATTTGATTTATATCGGAACATCGGCGCGAGTTCATGAATCTTTTGAATCAGATCGGGACTTTTGTGCTTACCATGGTTTAACTAGGCCTATAGTAACTTTTTTTTTCACCTTAAGAGAACACATAAAATGAATATCATAGAGATGCAGTTAGGATTAACAGAACTTTAGATAGTTTGCATGTACTTGTCTAGATCAACTTTGATTAAAGAAAAGAAAGGTTTAGAGCCAGACTTTTGTTTATGTATGTGAAATTTAACTAGCAGGAAACACAACTTAAGTTCTATCTTTCTAAAATAGTAAAACAATCCAAATAAATCATCTTTAAAACAGAAAGAAAAGCCACTTACAAAATTAGATCGGATGAACATTAAATAAATCTGATGTGGGAACAAAACAAGTGAATGAATCTTCCTCAGAAGAGACAAAAACAGCAACCCACTTCAGTGTCTGACTTTTTGTGAAATTTGGATTATTTCATTAATCTGCTGTTAGAGCTCTTCATATTTAAGGAGAGAGCTATAATTTCCAAAGTCATTGCTTGCTATGATTTTCAAGGGTGTAGAATTTAGTAGAGATACTATGACATGTCCCTACCAATGTTGTTTTGTTTTTGTTTTTTATCAAACATCTCAAAGAGAACTATGCTGATTGATTTGTGTCTTTATCATTTAATGTGTTTTTGATCGGATATGCTTTTACGCAAATCATTACAGTAACATAAATACAAACAATAGAAGTATAAAAACATAGCATTTGATCTCTAAATCAAATAATTACATCAGAACTACATCAAAAGGAATATGGTTTTGGAAATCGTTGATGCATTCGAAGCATTTCATCGGTGAAAAGTGTTACATGTCATGTTACAGAAAAACAAAGCTAAAATATCGGCTTTATTCACAATAATCAGAATGATGAAGCAACAATAATTTTCATATTGTGACAAAATAGTCACACGCAATATGTTGGTATACTGGAAATAACGATTTCACATAAATAACCATCATATTCACAGCCTGCCTGTCTACCCACAACACACATCACATCAGAACATAGCAGCAACTCTCAGAACCTTCCAGAAACATCACTGTAGAATAAGGAAAGCAAGTTCGGTTCGGTTTTAATTTCAGCCAAATTAAAAAAACTGAGACAGAAACAGGTTTTCTGGTAATTCTACCTGCAGATAGGAGCCCTCTGTTTGTCGTCTACACTCTTAAAAATAAAGGTGCTTAAAAGGTTCTTCACAGCGATGCCATAGAAGAAAAATTTTTTTGTTCCACAAAAGAACCATCTCTTTCTTACCTTTTTATAATCTGAAGAACCTTCTTTCACCACAAAGAACCGTTTGTGAAACAGATGTTAAAGGTTCTTTATGGAACCATTTAGACAAAAAAGGTTCTTCTATGGCATCGTGAAGCATGTTTATTTTTAAGAGTGTAAGGACCCCTGCTGTTCACGTTTAGAACTGATGCTCCCCACCATCCCTGAAACATTAAAACATCACTGAACCAACACCAGATTCCTTCAGGTACAAAACACCTCCCTCTGTGATGCACACTGTGAGTCAACACAAGTGTGGAATAATTAAAATGTCTTTGAAAGAAGTCTCTTCTGCTCATCAAGGCTGCATTTATTTGATAAAAATACAGTAAAAATTTGAAATGTTATTAGAATTTAAAACAGCTGTTTTCTATGTGAATATCTGTTAAACTGTAATTTATTTCTGTATTTTCAGCATCATTACTCCAGTCTTCAGTGTCACATGATCTTCAGAAATCATTCTAATATGCTGATCTGCTGCTCAAGAAACATTTCTGATTATTATCAATGTTGATAACAGTCGTGCTGCACGATATTTTTGTGGAAACTGTGATGCATTAAAAAATCTTGAGTAAAAAATAGAAAGAAATTAATACTTTTATTCAGTAAGGATGCATTAATTTGATCAAAAGTGCCAGTAAAGACATTTATAAAGTTACAAAAGATTTCTATTTTAAATAAATGCTGGTCTTTTAAAATTCCTATTAATCTGTGAATCCTGAAAAAAAAATTATTACATTTAAAATGTATTACAATAGAAAACTATGGAAGCTTGTTTCTACAGTTGCAAAATTTTATCTCACAATTCTGAATTTTGCATTTATATCTCACTCTATATCTCAATTCTAAGGAAAAAAGTCTTAATTAATTATGAGATACGAACTTGGAATTGCAAGGAAAAATGTCTAAATTGTGACACAGTCACAATTATCTCCTTTTATTTTTTATCGCGAGGGGAAAAAATCTAAATAGCAAGAAAAAAGTCAGAAACATGAGAAAAAAAGTTGCAATCACCTTTTTTTTTTTTTTATTCCATCCAAAATTGAGATTAATACATCATCTGAAAGCTGCATAAATAAGCTTTCCATTGATGTATGGTTTGTTAGGATCAAATCAAAATATTGAGAAAATCATCTTTAAAGTTGTCCAAATGAAGTTCTTAGCAATGCATATTACTGATCAAACATTAAGTTTTGATATATTTACGATAGGAAATTTACAAAATATCTTCATTGAACATGATCTTTACTTAATATCCTAATGATTTTTGGCATAAAAGAAATATGGATAATTTTGACTCATACAATGTATTGTTGGCTATTGCTACAAATATACCCCAGCGACTTAACACTGCTTTTGTGCTCCAGGGACACATTTCACTATTTGGTGAGCAGAAGAGACTTCTTTCAAAAACATTAATTGTAATTATTCCAAAGCTTTTGACCGGTCCCATACGGCCCACACAGTCTACTGAAACATTTCCCCTCCATATCACTGATAACCAAAAGAGATCTCAGAAGATTAAAAGCTGGAGAAATGTGCATCACTTTTAATTCTCAACTGCATAATTCTTTCATGTGTTGCAGTAACACTCTTTAGTCTTCACACAGAACAGTCTCGCGTCGATTGTCTCGCGTCTAAATCTCCGTGGACTCGATCCGCTCCAGGCGAGTAGGTCCGGGCCACGGAGGCGCCAGCTGATGCAGGATCGGTTTGGGATCGTCGGCGGTCAGCGGAACAGGGACGGAGAGACCGACGGGCGATCCGGGCGATCCGGGCCTGGGGCCCAGTTTAGCTCCGACCCGCTCCTCCAGCGCCTGATACTTCAGCACACGCTCTTTCTCGCCCTGCAAGAATACAGTAAAAATTTAAAATATTATTACAATTTAAAACAGCTGTTTTCTATGTGAATATCTGTTAAACTGTAATGTATTTCTGTGATGCGCAGCTGTATTTTCAGCATCATTACTCCAGTCTTCAGTGTCACATGATCTTCAGAAATCATTCTAATATGCTGATTTGCTGCTCAAGAAACATTTCTGATTATTATCAATGTTGAAAACAGTCGTGCTGCACGATATTTGTGTGGAAACCGTGATGCATTTTATTTTTCAGGATAAATAGAAAGTTCAAAAGAACAGCATTTATTTGAAATAGAATTTTTTGTAACATTATAAATGTCTTCACTGTCACTTTTGATCAATGTAATGTGTCCTTGATGAATAAAAGTAATTAATTTCTTTTTTTTGTCTTCTTAATATGTGACCCTGGAGCACAAAACCAGCTATATTTGTAGCAATAGCCAACAATGCATTGTATGGGTCAAAATTATAAATTTTTCTTTTATGCCAAAAATCATTAGGATATTAAGTAAAGATCATGTTCCATGAAGATATTTTGTAAATTTCCTACCGTAAATATATCAAAACTTAATTTTTTTGATATATTTACTGTAGGAAACTTACTAAATATCTTAATGGAACATGATCTTTACTTACACTGCAAAAAGTGATTCTCTTACTTAGTGTTTGTGTCTTGTGTTCTAGTATAAATATCTAAACATTCTTGAATCAAGATGAATTTAGCTAATTCATTGAAAAAAATTGACACTTATGACTGGTTTTGTGGTCACATTTTACTGCAAACTATGAAATAGTATGACAGTTTCCACAAAAATATTGGGCAGCACAACTGTTTTCAACATTGATGATAAAGGTTGGGGACAGAGTGAGGGTCACCAGAACGGGGATGGAGAGGCTGACGGGTGATCCGGGCGAGGTGCCCAGTTTGGCTCCGAGCTGGCCGACCCGCTCCTCCAGCGCCTGGTTCCTCTGCAGCGTCTCCACGTAGCTGAGTTGCAGCTGCGCCTGGTACTTCAGCACTCGCTCCTTCTCTCCCTGCCAGGTGTGTCGCTCCTGAGCGAAGGTGAGCACCTGCCTCTCTCTCTGCTGCCGCTCCAGGTGCAGCTCGCCCTGCAGTCTCTCCAGCTTCCGCCGCAGCTCTCCCGCCTCCTGCCGCTGCGCTTTGGCCTCGTCGCTCTGCAGGCTGAGGAAGCTGTCGATGGGCAGGGCTTCGGGCGAGCGGGGCGAGTGCAGGCCGGCCCACGGTAAGCTGCTGCAGCCGCTGATGTCCCTCAGACACACGGCGTGATCGCTCCTGCAGCTCAGCTCGCTCAGAGCCCGCTTGAGACCCAGAACCTCGGCCTCGAACACCACCAGCTTGTCACGCAACATCGACACCTGCGGAGAGAACAAACCAGCGCTCACAGCATGTGCTGAGTATGACATTTAATTTAAAAATCACATATGTGACCCTTGACCACAAAACCAGTCATAAGGGTTAATTTTTCAAAACTGGGATTTATGCATCATCTGAAAGCTGAAAAAATAAGCTTTCCATTGATGCATGGTTTGTTAGGATAGAACGATATTTGGAAATCTGGAATCTGAGGGTGCAAAAAATCTAAATATTGAGAAAATCATCTTTAAAGTTGTCCAAATGAAGTTCTTAGCAATGCATATTACTAATAAAAAATTAAGTTGTGATATATTTACTGTAGGAAACTTACTAAATATCTTAATGGAACATGATCTTTACTTACACTGCAAAAAGTGATTCTCTTACTTAGTGTTTGTGTCTTGTGTTCTAGTATAAATATCTAAACATTCTTGAATCAAGATGAATTTACTGTGCAAGTAAAATCACTTAAGATATTAAGTCTTGTTTTCTGTAAAAAAGTATAAAAATGTTGTTAGTTTTTCCTTAAAACAAGCAAAAATATCTGCCAATGAGGCAAGAAAAATAATCTTGTTTAGCCGTTCAATTAAGATTATTTTTCTTACCACATTAGCAGATATTTCTGATTGTTTTAAGCAAAAACTAACAAACAAAATTTAGATTTTTTTTTTTTTAGAAAACAAGACTTAATATCGTAAATCATTTTACTTGTCAAGTAAATGCATCTTGATTCAAGAATGTTTAGATATTTATACTAGAACACAAGACACAAACACTAAGTAGTTTGCAGTGTAATATCCTAATGATTTTGGCATAAAAGAAAAATCGATAATTTTACATAAATACATATATGTAAATATATACATATGTATAAATATTATTTCACTGCTCATCTATCCTCTTTTTAAGTAAGGGATAATGCACGACGTGGAGGCCAAGAACCACACGACGCGAAGTGCATTAAAATTGCTTAATGCACAGCTAGCCATGCATTATCCCGCTTGTACTACGGTCATACCTAACAGATATTCACATAGAAAACAGTCATTTTAATTTGTAATAATATTTCACAACATTACTGTATTTTTTTGTTTATTTGTTTACTTACTTTGTTGATCAAATAAATGCAGTCTTGGTGAGCAGAAGAGACTTCTTTCAAAAATATTTGTAAAAAACCCGAATTATTCAAAATCTTCGACTGGTAGTGTATATTTGTGTATACATATATATAGAAATGAAAAAGAAGTCATATGCATGGCAGTTTACTTTAACAAATAAGCTCAGTAAGAACTGTGTTTTACAAAGTTTGTGCGCAAATCATACTTTAATGCAAGAATCTAATTTTGATTTGAGTCTTCAAGCACAAACACACAGTCAACTTTAATGCTTATTGTTAGAGGTTTCAGCAAAGCACTAACCTCATGCATCAGCATTAGTAATAGTTTTGTTGTTTGTTATTATTAAATACGACTTTAGTCAGGATCATATAAGTGTGGTGCATTGGATATGAGTGTGTGTGTTTATGTTGCGCACCTCTGTCAGCGTTCTCTTCAGTTCTCCTTCACATCTCTCCAGCTCGCGGCTCTTGTTGGTGTACGAGTCCTTCAGGCCGATCATGGTCTCCTCGCGCTCCTTCATCTGGCCCTTGAGCTCCTTCAGCTGGCCCCTGAGGGCCACCATCTCTCCGGCGCGCTGCGTAACCTCGTTCTGACTCTCCCGCAGCTGCTGCTTCAGCAGAGAGATCTCGCCCGCTTTCTGACACAGCTGATCAACACGAAGCAAACCAAAGCCATCACTGCTGGGTCTCCTAGGCTGCGCTGTTTTAGATTAGTCTGCTGTATGTTGCTCTATCAGTTCCTGAACTCCTTAGACTTAAACTGTTTGCTTGAAATACTCCCAGAAATTTCAGTCAGTGTAATGAATAACAAATACTACTGGTTAAAAGTTAGGAATAATTAAAATTTGTTTCTTTTCTGCTCACCAAGGCAGCATTTATTTGATAAAAAATACAGTAAAAATGTGAAATATTATTACCGTTTAAAATTGCTTTTTACTAGTTGAATAAATAGCAAAATGTAATTTATTCCTGTGATAAAAGCTGTATTTCCAGCATCATTACTCCAGTCTTCAGTGTCACATAATTCTTCAGAAATCATGCTTATATGCTGATTTGCTGCTCAAGAAACATTTCTGATTATTATGAAATTAATACTTTTATTAATCAAAGATGAACACTACATTTTACTATATATTACTATACTATATACCTGTATATATGTTGCAATAGAAAATGGGTATTTTGAATTGTAGTAATATTTCACAATATTGCTGTGTTTTTTATTTAATTTTAATTAAATAAATTCAGCCTTGGGGTGAGCATAAACATTAACAAATCTTAATTACTCAGACTTTTGACCGGCTACAACCGGTACATAAGGTTAGAGTAAACTTCCATAAAAACTTTAGCAGACGTTTTTATATAAAATATGCTTTTTTATCTCTAGAGCAGGAATTCACAGTTTGTTTGTTTTTGTCAGCCCCAGTGAGACTTTAAGTTCATATTTCAATAATTTATCAACACATTTGCATTTTTTTCCCACTTTTTTGTGTTTTATTTCGACTGTTCTTATTTTAAAAAGGATCAATTTAAATGTTAAATTTTTATGATTTAATGAATTATTAGATTTGAACCCCAGTTTAAGCATTGGTGTCTGTGTTGCACTCTTAAAAATAAAGGTTCTTTATTTGGCATTGATGGTTTTATGAAGAAACTTTAGCATCCACTGAATCTTCACATTGAACAAAAGGTTCTTTAGATTTTTAAAATGTTCTTCAACCGAATAAAAATAGGCTCTTTTAACCCATTTAATCCCAAATATTTCTCAGACATGAAAAAATCAAAATGATGTGTCATTAGTAACCCCTTGAAATAATCAATAATTGTTATTTTTATTGAATTTTTATGGAAAAGTGTGTGTTTTATGGTTGGTCACAATTGTGACCGGTGGGATAATGTGTATACTAAAATTTAATTATTTCTGCATTCATAAAAATTCTTATATATCTCAGCCCAGTTATTAACCCATTGTAAACTGTTTCATCACATTCTATGCTTACTATTATACATTTTTTAAAAATCCTTATACAACACTGAATAGGTATACTACTGCTATTATTATATTAACATGTGTACTCATTCTACGTCCACACTCAACAAAACTAAATATATGTGAATTCATATATTAATACTAGACACCTTAAAGATAACATGTACCAAAAATCTTTGTCATATCTTTATGTTAACATGCATTACAAGCCTTTTGTTTTGGAGCTTTGATGCAGTTATTATCTTCTCAAGGTGCAAAAAATGATTCTCTTGCTTAGTGTTTGTGTCTTGTGTTCTAGTATAAATATCTAAACATTCTTGAATCAAGATGAATTTACTGTACAAGTAAAATGACTTAACATATTATGTCTTGTTTTCTGTAAAAAAAAAAAAATACAAATTTTGATAGTTTTTCCTTAAAACAAGCAAAAATATCTGCCAATGGTGCAAGAAAAATTATCTTGTTTAGTTGTTGAATTCAGATAATTTTTCTTACCCCATTAGCAGATATTTTTGCTTGTTTTAAACAACATTTTTAGAAAACAAGACTCAAGTAAATGCATCTTGATTCAAGAATGTTTAGATATTTATACTAGAACACAAGAGAAAAATACTCATGCAGTGCAAAAAGGAATTTAATAAACTGCTCTGGCCGTGTGACAATTTGCACTAAACACGTGAAACTGCACATATTTAATTGAGACCCTTCATATTTGCAGAAAATGCACTAAAACACCAGACAGTCCATTTTTAGAGCTTTAGAAATGCAAACCGTCTTTACGCTCACTATTGTGACCGGTGGGATTGAATGGGTTAAGAACTGATCACTGAAAGGCTCTTTGAGGAGCCACAAATGCAACCTTTTGGAGCCTTTATTTTGCTCCTCTCACCTCCCACTTGGTCTCCTCCAGGCGAGGCAGTATATCCGCCTGCTCCTTGCGGTAATCCAGACACTTGTGCTCCAGCTCCTCTCTCTGTGCGAGCAGAGCGCTGATCTCGTCCTGGAGCCGGCCCTTGTCCTGCTGCAGATGGGCGATGTGGGTCTGCAGGGCCTGCTGTGTGCGCTGGGCTCGGTGGGTCACCTGCTGCAGACGGCCGGCGTAGTTCTGCCTCAGCTCCTCCATGTCTCGCTCCCAGACGCAATGCTTCTCCTCGAACACCTGCACGATGGCCGCCTCGCTCTGGTCCAGGTTACGCCGCATGTGGATCACCTGAGGAACAATCACAGTCATTTACTCCAGGTACAGGTTTCTTCAGCCTGCCATGTATGGAAGCACTGAATTTTGCTACAAATATCCCACGGCGTCATGATGAAAATGCAATCCTAAGTGTTCTAACTGTTAGTCTAAATGCATTTAGGACAAATAGCATTTAAATGATCA